ACACTACCATGCTCTTTCTGTCCAGGAAGCTTTGTAATATACCTTGAAATCTGGCATGCTGAGGTCTGTTGTAGTGTGTGCAGGAATATCTACAGACATCACTGATCTTTTAACTGGTTAAAAGCTATGTGTAGTTTCTACTTAATCTAGGTTTTGAGTTACCTCTGCTCTAAATGCAGGCCTGTTGTTGCTGCCAGTGATTAAGAGTAGGTCATATCTGGGATGACTTTTTACCATGGGACCCCACAAACTTTCATTATCGTCTCAGTATGGGTAGGGAATGGGAGGTTGGGGCCAGTGACACAGGTGCTGAAGCCTGAGCTGGCTGCAGGGGTACAGGTGCCAGTACAGTGATTTCAGCTTGCAGAACACATAGTGGGAGCAAGTCTGGTTCTGCATTGTTGGTGGGAGGCTTCCAAACAGCAGCAGGAAGCAGTAGCAGGATAGCTTTGGTCAAAATAACTGTCCAAGGTGACTACGGCATATCTAGCCTGCCCTATGAGAGCTACTTCCATCCATAAATAGGTGTATTCAGCTCTGTCGGGGGGGGGTTATTTATTTATTTTTAAAAATTCTGATCACCTTGAGAACAGTTTATCAGACAGTGTCAGGGAGTCATGGTCTTTGGCACCCAGTTCTGTGAGCAAGTATGTGGCAAAATTGAGTGGTTTTATCACCACAAGAGTCAGGTAAGAATTTTTGTATAAGAGTCCATGGTACAGAGTGGGGTATGGCACACAGCATGTGGCACCTAGACAGTTAGGTCTTTGCCTACGGTGAGCTTGTCAGCTTTTTTGATCAGAACAGTGGCCAAGTATTTGCACAGGTAGAGCACTAACAGGGGCTAAGAATCTGCGTAAGCATCGTTGTTTTTGTGAACTCCAGGATCCAGATTTTGTAGAAGCCAGCAAGAAATTTGTAGGGTTTTTGTAACCAGTTTCTTCCAGATACAGTAGCAGAGCTTTTGTGTCTTTCCAACAACTTGGATGTCATTCTGAGAAACCAAGGAGGTCAGCTGTGAGGGCCTCTCCAAAGAGTGTAAACAGGTTTTTGAACTTATGAGAGGTTGAGTACAGGTCAGTTGCAAAAAGAGGCTGGCTGATAGGAGCCAACCAAAGACAGACGGCACTCTTAGGTCCAGGCATGTACCAGCAGGCTGCAGGTGGCAGAAGACCAAGGCAACATACATGGAAGGCGATCGTGGTGGTATTGGCAGCTCAGAGAACTTGAGCTGGCTTTAAAGGAGCCAGAGAACTTGAGCTGGCAGGAGAAGTGTACTGTTTGAAGCAGGTGGGGGTTGCCTTGGGACAGAGCTGGATCATCAAAGGGGCATGACTGATAGCAAGCTCTGGAGTAAGTCTGTTGTCCATACTTCTAGAAATGAGTCTCTCAAAATGTTAGGGTTATGATTATCAGACATTTCAGGCTGATGTAGGTACCAGTGTCTTCCTTTGGAGGTATAACCAGTCAATAATAAGTCTGGGACAGAGGACCTGAGTGTGAGGGAGGCTGATCACATCCCAGGAGAGATGTAGGGCACTCAAGCATGTACAGGAATTGATGTTTGATAAAGTGTCCATCGGTCTCACAGGATCTGCTTTGGCAGAATGCATTTCCAGAGCTCCAGTGGGTAACTTTTCAGGACATGTTTATTGGCTTCTTGCATTTCTCTTTGAGGTCTGCCAGGAGAGCAGTGCAGTTTTGATCTAAGGCTTCATGATCCCCTGTTGCATTACAACCCCAGATGGTTGTACTGGTGGAAGGACTATTTCCACTCAAGCATCAGGGTCAACTGCTGTGGCAGGGAGTTTTGAATTTTAACCAAGCTTGGACCCCATCTAAAATATGGTGGCATTCCTCAGTATTAAACAGAGTCAGGAGTTGCAGACAGTAGAGCAGAAGGTTGTGGTGGAAGAGACAGAACTGATGGTGGCAGCAGTGTGGCTGGCTGAGTAGCTTAGGGTCAATGACCTTAAGGAGGAGGCAGGTCAGATTCAAGGTCTTTGGGAAGAACAGGATAAAGCTTTTCTGGCTTGGGCTGAATCTGAGAGCTTCTCAGATGGTCTTACAGGTTTGTTTTGACGACATAGCCATGGAGCCAAGGAGGGAGAGTTTTTCATCTCTTATGGCAATTGAGTCCAAGTGAGCTGGACTGTTATCTCAGAAGTTTCCCAGTTTACCTCTTGGAGGAGAGTTCTTAGAACTTCAGGATTGCAGTTCTCTGTCTCAGGCTGACATAACGTTTGAAGGCTGAGAGTTCTGTTCCATTGTCCACCAGGAAAGTCACAGGTTTGTCCCCAACTTTTGCAATGATTGAAGACTCTCAGGAGCCCAATTTGATAGAGCTCAGTCTGTCCTGTCTATTCAGTCCCAACAGGGTGCAACTCATTTGTCAGGGCTTACAGGGCAATTTTTCCTCAGTCAAAATATAAAACCTCACAAGGAATTGTTGACGGTCATCTTGGATGGGCATTAGATGATGTTGCCTGACCAGGTAGGCATGTAAATAGAAGGCTCTGGAGGGAGGGTTTCTGTGGCTGAATTCAGGCAACAGCTAGTGGAACCAGTTCAGTTGGCTGGAAGTAGATGAGTCAGGAGTGGCGAGTGAAGCTACAGGTGTTGGCAGCAACTGCAGTAGCTGACGAGTATGCCACGGCAGAACTGTCGGGAAGAATGGGCCTCTTTTCCCTTTTTTTTCCCCTTGAGATGCAGGGAACAGTTTGGTTTCATTTTTAACTCTGTAAAAGCCCCTTTTCCTGCAGTCAGGGACTGTGAGTTTTAATAATTACTTACCATTCTATCTCCCTGCAGTATATGTTTTGCACCCTTGCATAATTGCACAACAGACAAAGAGTGGATGCCCCCGGATAGAGATCATTTAGATGCCCACCTGGCTGCACCCTTCATGGGACACAGGTGCAACTTAGCTAAGGAGGGTGTGAGGCTTGCTGTTACATTTTAAATCGGCACAGAACTGCAGATGAGTGCCCAATCAGCCACTGAGACCAGTGCTTCCTAGTCTTGGTGCACGGACAGAGCAGTCTATTGCATATGCTGTTCATTTCACTCACACATTCATTCATTCAGCAGGCACTCAGAGGTTAAACATTCCAACCTCCTTCCCTTGAGGGTGCCCTTAACTAGCAAGAGTTAATCAAGCTCTTTTTGTGCTTGAATTGAGGACTGACAGACTGACTAACATGGGTGCCCCTAGGAGTCTTACTGGAATCAGGCAGGCAGGCAGACAGATTGTGTCTTCCTTCCTTCAGGGTTCTCTGTGAGCTGCTCCAGCAGGGAGCTAGGAATCCTCCTCCAAGACCACTGGAGAAAACTTGATAGCTCACCTTCCCATTGAGAACTGGAGAGATCCTTGTTTTATCCTCCAGGGCCATGTCCAGTGACCAAAGAGATCAGCATGGTCGGCCTTCTCAGCCGATGCATCAGGTACAACAGCAAGCAGAAACACTGCAACACCACCAGGATTTGGAGGTAGTTTTATTTACATCAATGGGCACTGGTCAGGATCATTCCCAAAATATCAGGCCCTGATCTCTAGTGGTCTAGGGCTTGTATGGGATAAACAAGAAGGAAGTACAGAGGCAGAATGGCTTGTGGACTGGGGATTAATTCTTATCATGTGTATCATAGTGATGAACTGTGTTTCAGAGTGACCAGCTGTTTCTAAGAGATCAGAAGCGATTGGGACTGGAACAGAAACTGTTACCTGTGCAACTAAGAAACTGAAGTATACTGGCTGATGACAGGGGCGTTCTGTTACATTAAGATTGCTTTCTCTAGTTCTGTGAAGAATTCTCTTGGTATTCTGATTGGGGTTGCATTAAATCTGTAATTAATGCAGCACAGGTTAAGTTCCAGGTCCTTATTTATCTTGTCGCCCTGTTTGGCAAACTTTACACAGAAATCCTGGGCCCTTGGGATACCAGACCTCAAAGCTACTGAGGGTGACTTCTCTTTCCAGGACCCAACTGCATCTGCAGCTTTTAGCAGGTTGCTCACTTCCTACCTTCCCCAAAACTCCTTGTGAGAGTAAAGACTAGATGCAGCTCCTCACAGCCATCGGCAACCTCCTGTCCCTGCGTCCTCACTCCCTTCTCCTTTGAAGCTGAGACCATCACTACCAATCATCTTCCTGTTCCTGTCCTTTCCTCTTCTGCCACGCTGCCTCTTCTGACCTCCTTGATCTCTGGTCCTCGTGCCAGGGGCATTCCCACCCCCATCACCACAGGTCTGTCTCCCACTCAGAGGCAGCACCCGGTGCCCCCAGGGCTCCCTGAGCCTGAGCTGTGCAGGGCCTCACACCTTGCCCTTCTACTCTTCCTGTCTTTTGAGCCCACCTGGCCTCACTTCCCTTTCTCAGGTGCAATGGCGGTTTAAAGCCTTTGGCAAACTTCTACCACTCAGAATGACTGTGCCATTCCAGTCACCTGGGCACTCTGGGACTCCCCGGGGTCTCCTGTGCAGCCGAGATGGGGCCACTCAGTGAGTCGAGCCACATTGCTCTGCCACTTTCTCTCAGGCACCTTCCTTCCCATGCTCCTGCCACTGAGCCCAGAGGCCCAACCTGGAGCAACCCTGCTGCAGCTGTCCTGCAGGAAGGGGCCTCCCAGCGTGAGCACTGAGTGAAGATGAACACTGCACTAGGGTACGGTACAGTGGGACTTAGCAGGGGCCACAGACCTAGTGTGTGCTGAGGGAAGTTTGGGGGGTGACTTGAATCAAGTGTGAAATTTAAATTCTCACGGGAGTCAGGTTCTGGGGAATGAGTCTGGCTAGCAGGTTGATTCCTGGTCCAGTCCTGTGGTTGGAGGAGGCTTCAAGCATGAGTGTCTGCCAAGAAGCTACCAGAATGAGGCAGTCAGGCAGAGACAGGTCGACCGGCAATGAGCCCGATTAATGGCCCAAGAGGTTGCTTTCTTTCCAACCAGAGACTGGGAAACCAGAGGATGCTAAGGGTTTGTTTTTACGGTAGTGGGGATTGAACCCAGGGCCATCCCCATACATCCCCAGCTCCCCCCGCCCTTTTTTTCTTTTTGAAACAGTGTCTCACTATCTGGTTCAAGTTGGTCTTAAATTCACTATGCAACCCAGTTGGCCTTGAACTCCATCTCATGGCCATCCTCCTGCCTCAGCCTCCTGAATGCTGGGAATACAAACATGAGCCACCATGCCTGGCTAATCCCTCCCCATTGCTTTTTTTTTTTTTTTTTTGGTACTGGGAATCAAACTCAGGTAGGCGCTGTGCCACTGAGCTAAATCCCCATCTGCTAATCTCCTGTTTTGAGGCAGGATCTCCAATTAAATTACTGAATTGCTGGGGATAAGCTCATGACCCTCCTGCCTCAACATCCCAGAGTGGAGATTGTTTAGCTTTTGAAAGGCTAAGGGTTGCTGTGGTTGTGGAAAATAAATGGAGCAAAACAAAGCATAAGAAGCTGAGAGATGCTGCCCTTCAGCCAGGTGAGCGTATTCCTTGCTAGTAAACACGTCCTCTCTCCTGAAAGGACCATATTGTGTCTGTAGATTTCATGGCTTTGGTATTTACCTCCTGGGGCCTCAGAAATCCTCAGAATTACAGGATGCCAGAACAACACATTGGCGGACTGCTAGCTAGACAAAGCGATGATATAGGGGTAATATCTGCAGGGATGTGGGGGAAGGTCAAAAAAGCTAAAAATCATGCTGAGAAAAGCAATGGCAGGAAAAAGAAAAATCTAAAGGTGTGGAAAAGAAACCCTAATTCTGTTGGTCTGTCTTCATCTGGAAAGGAGGGCAGACTCTTCCCGGAAAGCTCTCAAGCCCTTGGGTTGAGCTGAAGTGCAAATATACTCGCTGAGCCGGGATGCATGAGCAAGGGGTGAGCCTGGGCAGGATCGAGAAGAAAACCGACTCTGGACTCCTCCCTGCCACTGTGTGTGCACTTCTGGAGCTGAGCTGATGTGAAGACGGGCGGGAGCAACCTCACCTCAGGGACTAGTGGACACTGCAGAATATGGTTCTCCGTATGCGGGTAAGTGTAATTAGGAACAATGACATTTATTTCAAAGGAAACTCAAGCACTAACGAAACTTCCTCAAGCATGTTCAGGACTGCATTTGGGGAGCCAGGTAGAGTGATTAATGGGTAAAGCCTCTAGAGAAGGTCCCAGATTCCCAGATTCCACCAAGACAGCACCCTGGTTGAAGACTAAGATCAGGGAACAGGGTCAGGATCCAGGGAAAGTGCACAGGCCAAGAGCCTGGGTGGTGGTGTGGACTGATGGGACATGGACTCAGCCACAGGGCTCTCCTCATACTGCTCGCACTCCCAGCATCGCTCTGAGCGTCATCCTTGCCCGGAATCAGCAGAGAGGCCTAGAAAGGAGGACTGCCCCATCAGCACCCCAAATGATGGAAGAGAATGTTCTCACAAGAACACATCCTTCAGGGTCCCGCCAGGTCTCATCTGAAAGAGACCCTGATGCCTTGGCTTCCCGCTGCCCCTCGAGTCTCAGCTTTTCCTACCGGATTGTGGTGTTCGTAGGAAACCTTTGTAGGGACAGACACCTTCCTCACGGGGGTTAGTTTAGGGAGCCAGGATCCTCTAAGAAGTAGAAAGAAAACAGTTTCTGTGGCTCAACAAGCAGCTGAACTGACAGCCTGCGGTTTAATGCCTGCTTCTGCACAGCCAGCACTGAGCCATTGAGCTCCTCTGGGTAGGTTCCCTTTGCCCTCAGAATCCCCCTGTAACCCCAAACCTAGCCCCCCAGCAAAAAGTCCAGTAACCAGTCAAGTCGTGACCCTCCAAGGGAGGACAGGGGACCTCTACCCCATAAAATAGGACCACTGGCTGGTGGTGCTTAGTGATGACCAGCTCCAGGCCTGTCCTCCTCCAGAGTGGCTTTGTACTGTGTATTCCCGCCATGAAGCTTTGGTCTTGTGCTGATTCTCTTTTCCACACCCCTTTCCTCTTTCTATGTGGGAGAGAGTATCAGGCCCAGCTAGGGTGACTGCTTTAGGACCCCGAGATACCAGATCCACTGGATACAACACCTTTGGATTTCCTAGTACTATTTTGTATAATCTGACAAGAGTTTACAATAGTTCACAGACCACAAACTCTGTAAACAGGAGAGGTGGAGAAGTATTTGAATATATAGCTTTTTGACAGACCTACAGCTCCATGGAGCCGAAGGGAGAAAGAACCGTGCTGTTTCCTACCTTCTGCTGCTTGAAGATTTGTTCTTGGTCCAGGGGTTGAGTGGGTTCCCTGCTGACCTTTCCTCTAATCATCTGTCCTTGAGGGCAGAACATATTGGTGTAACCCCAGTACTTGGGAGGCTGAGGCAGGAGAATTCCAGGTTCTAGGTTGGCCTGACCACATAGTGAAATCCTGTCTAGAGAAACAAAGAAAGGTAAAACAGAAAGTCACCCCACCATTTAAGAAAGTCAGGATGAATGCGTTCCACTCCTCCCAAATTTTTCTGTGGTGTGAATATAAAATCTGCACCTTCTTGAATGTAAAGACCACCAGGACATTAAACACCAGGAAGACTCCCTAAATAGTGGACTTTAATGACTGATTAATTTTTTGCAAGTCAAGTAGTTCCCAGTGATTTTATATCAATATGATTGGATTAAGACATATAAGTAGAGCATTAATAATGATTTTTAGTGATACATTGTTTCGTGATTTCTGATGTAAAATGTGGAAGTTTAGAGAATTGAATAATGCTGCTATAACAACATATTTTTCCCTATTTACTTATCTGGATGAAAAAAATCTCTCAGACTTACATCTATAACCAAATAGGCATAGAACCAATTCTAAACTGTCATTCTGACAATAAATATTCAAACATGCAGAAACCAACTGAAAACATAGTTCCATATATCTAACTTGGTTAAATTTTTTTTTGTCTTTTTTGTTTTTATCGGTACCAGGGATCGAACTCACGACTGCCTGCTTGCAAGGCAAGCGCTTATGCTGCTGAGCTAAATCCCCAGCCCCCATATATCTAACTTGGAGAACTGTTTCACTGGGCATCATGCTGTAGGCCTGTAATCTTAGCTACTTGAGAGGCTGAGGCAGGAAGATTCTTCAGCTGTAGCTCAGTGATAGAATACTCTGGATTTAATGCCCAATACCACAGTTTTTTTTCTCTCCCCTTTTTTCTTTCTTTTTCTCTTTCTTTTTGGTTGGTTTTTGAGACAGGGTCTCCAAAAGAGCTGGACCTGAACTCACCATGTAGCCCAGCTGACCTCAGACTCTTGGCAGTCCTCTTGCATCAGCCTCCCAAGTGCTGGGATTGCAGGTATGTACCACCATATCTGGCCACCATCATTTATATTTCTAATCAGCTGTACTACTTTTTTATTTATTTGTTTATTTTTTGAGACAGAGTTTCACTATGCAGTTCAGGCTGGCCTTGAACTCATTTTGTAGCTCAGACCAGCCTTGAACTTCCAGTGATCCTCCTGCCTCAGCCTCCCAAATGCTAGGATTACAGGTGTGTACCACCATGCCTGGCTTTTATTTTTTCTTTTGAGGCAGGGTTTTGCTATGTAATCGAGACTGGTTTTAAACTTCCTATGTAGCGCATACTGGCCTTGAATTCATAGTAAGCCTCCTGCTTCAGCCTTCTGAGTACTGGGATTACAGGCATGTGCTACTACTTCTTGCTGTGTACTACTGATAATTATAATAACTAATTACAATTATAGAAACTTTAACAATTTGAGAATTGAAATCACAAGAAATGTTGAAAATTTAATTAAAATGTGCATACATATTTTGGTGCAGAAAGACAACAGGTCTACTAATAGCAGACTTTTGAAAGTAAAAGTATAAGACATTGGGAGGGGGGAAAAGGATGGAATAAAAATATAGATTTTTGAGAGAAAAATAAACACTGCACTATTTCCCACTGTTAATGGACTCATGAAGTTTTTTTTTTTTTTTTTTTTTTTTTTTTTGGTCCCAGGAATTGAATTTATTACCTTGAGCTTGTTGGACAGGCACTGTGCTGCTGAGCTATATCCCCAGCCCTTGAACATATTTTTTAAAGGAACAAAGGCAGGAATCAGATTGAGTTGGTATTTTATTTCCAACGAATATGTTCAGCTTTTTAGAAGATTAAACATTATATGCTTTACAAATATTTAAATTTATCACTTCAAAACCCGATGGCATGGAAAGGCGCGAGCAGCCATTGCTTTGCACTGTAATGACTCAGAGGCCAAGGGCACGGGGTCCTTGAACACTGCTGTGTCTGGAGTCTGAAGTCCAGCCTGGCTTTCAGGCCCAGCCGCAAGTGCAGCCCCTACACCAGATAGCCAGCAGCCTGGAGCTCCTGGGATCCACAGAGCCCATTGCCCCAGAGGGATTAGAAAGGCTTTCCTAGGGGCTGGGGATTTAGCTCAGCAGCATAAGCGCCTGCCTTGCAAGCAGGCAGTCGTGGGTTCGATCCCTGGTACCAATAAAAAGGAAAAAGATAAAAAAAAAAAAAAAAAAAAAAAAGAAAGGCTTTCCTGGTTGCTGCCCCAGTGAGGATAGCATTCCAGGAAGTGCTGTGGAGTGACAGCTCTCAGGGACAAGGACAGCTTGGCAGAAGGCCCGAGGGGCAGCACAGGAGGCAGGTGGTGGCTTCTCCCTCAGGGATTTGGAGGCGGGGTAAGGAACTTGCTTCTTACCCTAAATGCAACACATGACCATCTGATTTATGTTTAAAGATAGCATTGATGTAGCTTTTAAAAATAATATTAAAAATAGCCAGGCAGGGTGGCACGCACCTGTAACCCCAGCACTCTGGGAGGCTGAGGCAGGAAAGGCATAAGTTTAAGCTCAGCATGGGCAACTCAGTGAGTTATGGAGAGAACTTATCTCAAAACAGAAAGAGGCTGGAGAAATAGCTCTGGGTACAACTCCCAGTACAAACAACAACAACAACAACAAAAGCTAAAGTCCTAATGTGTATATATTGAAATATTGTCCTACTCATAATAGATTGAAATCATTGCTTTTTATGTGACATGCTATTGCTGTTCAGGTGGTAAGGGAAAAGAGACAAGAGACATTCAGATAACAGTCCTTGACAAAAGAAAAAAATATTCAGTGGCTTTGACAAATGTGTTCATTAATTGAACCAAAATATACAGTTTCTATCAATTATAAAATCTAGAACTGAGTGTGGTATTGCATGCCTGTAATCCCAGCACTTGGGAGGCTGAGGCAAGAGGATTGCCTGGAGTTAGAGGACAGCCTGGGCCACACAGTGAGTCCAAGGCCAGCTGGAACTGTATTGCAAAGCCTTGTCTCAAAAAAGAAGAAAAATTATAGATTCTAAGGCCACCGAGCTCACAGTAGAAGGTTCAAGTAGATGACAGATGCTGAGCCCTTATCCTGGTTCCTGATGAGGAGTAATGTACTGCTGCACTGCTGGCCCCAGGTACTTGGCTCCTGCTGCTTTTCTGCTTCCCTGATCTCTTCCCTTTCCCCTCTTCTCCCACTGTGTGCAGGGAGGAAATGCTTTGTGCCAGGCCCAGGGCACAGAATATCCACAATAGGCATGGCTTGCTGCTTAGTCATTGGGGCGCCTCTGAGTGGAACAGTCAGGAAGTGCGGTTCCCCAGAGAAGTCGTGTGGGGGAGGAAGGTCTCACCTGGGAGCAGGAAAGGTCACCTGATGAAGGGCTAAGTGAGAGGATGCTGCGGGGAGGGTCTCCAGAGGAGATGCAATAGGCTGTAGTCTTCCCAGAACTAAAGGCAACTAGGAACCCAGAGGCTGAACCCAAGGCTGGGAAGCAGGAAGGTTCTGTCACCAAACACCTCATAGGCACCATGAGAACCTCAGATTCATCCTAGGATCAGCAAGAAAATGGTGAGCTGCAGGGCACTTTCTGTTTGGGAGCGATAGAAGCTCCCTTCACCTATCCGGGCTGCTCCCTGAAGCAGAATTCGAGTGTTCTGTAAATCCATTCAGAGCTGGCCGTGCAAGTGCACACTAGTGTGTCCCTGTCTTCATCTTGTAATAATATATGATGGTGTCCCAAAACAGTCCTTGTAACACTGGGGATTGAACCCAGGGCCTCACATACCCTAGGCAAGCACTTATGCATGGAGCTACATAGCCAGAGCTATTTTAAATTTTAGTTTTAAGACATAGTCTTGGTAAATTGACCAGGCTAGTCTCAAACATGCCATCCTCTTGCCTCAGCCTCTGAGCAGCTAGGATTACAGTTGTACACTACCATACCTGGCCAGTATACAGTTTTGTTTTTTGAGACAGCATCTCCTATAATTCAAACTGGCTTTGAACTCACTATATTGTTCAGGCTGGCCTCAGACATGCAGCCAACCTTCTGCCTAGGTCTCCCAGGTGCTGGGATTGCAGGCATGCAGTCTTGAATATAATGTTTCTTAATATGTTTTACGGATACATACCAAGCTGTGTAATGCTTTTTCCTCTGGACTTTTCTGTATGAATATATGATTTCTTGAACTGATCCCTCAGAGTGGGCACACAGGCCATTCCCAGTCTTTGGCTAGTCACACAATACCACAGTGAAAGTTCTTACACATATCCTTGAAGCCTGAAGAATTCTGTGAGAGAAATTCCCAGAATCTGGAATTTTGACAAACATTGCCAAAGTGCCTTCCATCAAAATCATGTTAGTTTACATGACCACTGGCAAGGATGTGACTGAAAACTGAGTATCCCAGTAGGGTTTTTATTTCTATTTCTTTTAGTAAAAGTGGGTCTGAGAAGATTTGATCTGATTAAGGGCTAGTGCTATGAATTAAAAATTACCTCATTAGACTGAGGACCAAGCCCGGAGTTGAAAATGACAATTTGTTTGTTCAACAAACAATTTTGAAAAGCAGGCCTAATTCAGCACATTGAATGCATCAATAACCCCAGATGGATGAACTGGTCTGCTGGATGCCAGTTTAGTGAGGGAGATGTCAAAGAAACATCCCATTAAATGATTGTGCTATTTAATATATGCACTGTGTTATTAAAATGTTGTCATGTGCAGAAAGATGAGAGCACAAAGAAGGGCAACTCATGAGCCAGGCATATATATATTTAGAATGCCTAATTTTTAAAAGTGGGTTGGAAATAAATGGTTAGTACTTTTCAATTTTTTGTAAGGTCTACTTGGGTTTCTTTTAAAACTTGCCTCTATGCATTGTCAAAAAGTATAACTGCTTAGTAGAGCTGAGATTTTAAACAAAAGTTTTAAAAAAATGTTTTCAAGCTATGTCCAAAGGATGGCAAGATACCCATCAGGAAAGGCAGTGTGTCCAACACAAAGGGAGTAGGTACCCGATATACAATGGTGTTTGATTTATGTTTGGATGGCCCCCAAGCCTCAGCCAGTCATGGAGGCGGCTGAATCTAGCATTTGTGATTGGTTGTCTGTCTAGCGCTGGGATTGGTGGTGTCAGTGCTGCCCAGGAACAGGTAGATGGAATACCATGTAAGAGAGGGAAGCCTGCTTTGCCCTTTTCACCCTGTTCCCTCTTGTCACTTGTAGCTGCCATGAACAGCTGCCCCTTAGCCACACCACCCTGCCTTGGAGCCAGCTGAGTATGGACTACAACCTCCCAAAATTACAAGCTAAATAACCCTTTCCTTCCTTCATTTTGGGCCCCAGGTATTTTGTCTCAGCAATGAGAGAAAAATAACCAAGACAAATGGCTTCTTTTCAATTCAACTGAAAAGTTGGCAAAGCAGTAAACAACGGCAAACTGACCTTTCCAAGATTGAGAATTCAGACACTGTAAAACAATTTGGGGAAGAAAAAGAGGATGATGGATCTCTGGGATGCAGGAAGGATCTGAAGGGAAAATTGGAGCGCACAGAGAAAATGAAAAGACTGACCCAACGCAGAAAAGAGGAGGAGGCAATCTGTACTTTTTACCTGGCTCTCAGCTTGTGTCTGGAGAGAAGAGGATCAAATCCGCAGGGACACAGTGAGGGTGGTGATTCCAGGGAGGAACCCACCAGTGGAACAGAGCAGTGGATGCTGTGAACTACAGCGGCAGGCGAGTGACTCCAGGCCAAGAGACTGCTGTATCCCCTGAAGAGGACAGGTACCATGTGAGGAAGAGGCCAGCTGGACCTGGAGCTCAGAGCAGCCAGGGGTTAGCTTCATCTCAGGGCACCCAGTGTTGAAATCCCATAATGACTGAGTGAAGAGACAACTTCAGGAGATGTCCAGGGTCAGGGAGTGAAGGCCAGGCCTGCTAAGGACACCCAGAGAATTGTCGGCTGACTGACTCAGGCCCCAGCACCACAACCAGACACCATGATTAGCCAAACTTCTGTGGGTCTGAAAGTACCAGAACTAGCACCCTGCCCTAACTCTGTGGCAGGCTTGCTGGGTCATCCAGCACAGATCTTGACTCTGCTACCAGAGACAGCACAGCTGTGCTCGGAGTGAGACAAGCCATGATAGGCTTGAAATCACAGAGAAATTCTTTCTTTGTCTCTGCTGTTGGTTTTGGTGAGTTTTTTGATTGTTCGTTTTTGTTTTTTGTGAGTGTGAACATTTAGATTTCTTCTTGTTTCATTTTTTCCTTTTCTTCCCCTCCTGTCTTCAGTTTCCCAAGGCTTGAGTAATCCTCCTTTGTCCTTCAGCTTTGCTTTTAATCTTTATTTTTCTTTTTTTAAAATTTTATTTAAAGACTAAACAAAACAGAAAATAGAAATAATACATACTTTCAGAGAAGAAAAACATAAACAGTAAGAAATCACTAGTTGATGTTTACATATTGTCGTTTTACAAATAGTTGTTCAAGATACAAAAGTGGAACATGTAAAGTGGGAATTCAAACAGTGAGAGCTCAGACAGTTCTGTTCAACTGTCCAACAAAAACTTAGTAACATGGTTGTCAATCCTATGCACTTAAACATACATATAGTTATCCATATCTTCATTTGTGTTTACATTAAACAAACTAAAGCAGGTTAAAATCATTCTGAACAAAGAATAATAGTATTGTTGGATTTCACATCATGATACTATGTGATCAGCACTGGGTACTGTGGTGTCTGTTTTTTTTTAAAATTTAATTTAAAGGAAGACTAAATAAAACAAAATGGGTAGAAATAATACATAATTTCAAAGAAAAACTAAACAGTAAGAAATCACTAGTTGATGATTACAGATTGTCTTCTTACAAATAGTTATTTACAATACTAAAGTGGAGCTTATAAAGTAGGGATTCAAACAGTGAAATTGCAACCAGTTCAACTATCCAACAAAAACTTAGAAATATGATTATCAATCCTATACACTTAAACATATGTGCAGTTAACCATATCTTCAATTATGTTGAGACTGAATAACACCAAGCAGGCTAATATCACTCTGAACAAAGAATAATACTATTGCTGGGTTTCACAGGATGACACTCCAGGGTCAGCACTGGGTATTTTAGTGTCTCTTTTGCTTCAAAGTATCTGTTCATTTCATCATATGTCATATGATCAGTTCTCATAAACTGTTTATAGATTCCACACATGCATGAGTCTTAACATGTATTTCTATCCTTTCTATATTAGAGGGAGAAACAAAACAAAGCAAGGCAAAACAAAACATATTCCTATAAACACTTGAAACAAAAAAGACATATAAGACCACTGTACAAAGAGTTCAACCATGCTGGCTGTGTTGTCTCTTGTTATCTCCAATAGAATTGGCTATATCATCAGACATAGTATAATTGAATATATCGGTACATAACATTAATAAAAACACAACTTTGTATATAGTATAGAACTTCAAAAACTGGCAGTTATCAACAAGAATGTGTATAATTGAGTCATGTCATCTTCAGTGTAATTGCCTGTACTCTCAGACTTGATACTATCAATCATATCAGTTTTGAATAAAATCTTCTCTGCCTCATTTGTGTTATGCTCTTTTTTTTGCCATCAGTTGTCTGCTTAGCTTCATTCTGTTTTCTGCTCCATTCATTGAGGCCTCTCTGCCACTGTTCCTAGAATCCTAGTACTTTTCTCTCTCTCTAGAATGCCCTGGAGTATTCTCTGTAGAGTTGGATTGGTGGTTGCAATTTTCCCAAGTTCCTCTTTGTCTTGGAAGCATCTTGTTTCTCCATTAATTTCTAGAGACAGTTTAGCAGGATATATCAATTTGGGACGGAGGTTATTTTCTTTCAGGGATTGGAATATTTCGCTCCATGCTCTTCTTGACTTGATGGTTTGTGTTGAGAAGTCTGCCGTTATTCTGATGGGCCTTCCTCTGTAGGTTATCTGTCTCTAACAGTCTTTTATTTATTTAAGGAGAAAAAAGAAAAACAAAAAACAGAAAAAGGGTGCAAGTTATACAGAATTTCAGAAAAAATAAACAGTAGGAAATCACTAGTTAATTACATATTGTCATCCTAGAAATAGTTGTTAAAGTTACAAAATTAAAGCATATAGAGGGAACTTTCAAACAGTGAGACTGCAAACAGTTTTGTTCAATGATCCAACAAAACTCAGTAATCTGGTTATCTATCTTATACACTTAAATATATATGCAGTTACATCCTTTAGAGCACTTTCTTTTCCTTTCTTTTGTACACTGACAATTACACATTTTGGGTTTTATTACTCCCACAGTTCTTACTACTTTTTTTTGAAGAAAGTAAAACCAAATGTGACATAACAAAATAGTCAAATCAAAAGGATGGACATAATACATAATGTAAAAACAAAATACAAGCTGATCAACAATGGTTACCATAATGTCTCTTGTTATCTTAAAAAGAATTGCCTATACCATCAGTTATAATAAAATTGAACAAAACAGTAAAGAATAAGACCAATAAAACCAAAACATTGGAGACATCAGAGGACTTCAAAAGAAGATAATAGTCAACCAGAATGGGCGTCATAATGAATCTGATTGTCTTCATAGTTGTTGCCTATACTTTTAAACTTGGTACTATCAAGCATAACAGAATAGAGGAAAATCAGTCAAAACAAGATGGTGAGAGCAATACAGGGTTTCGAATCCAGTTAATAGGAAATCAAAGTGGGTTACTATAATATATCCTGCTATTTTTTATTTGTTTTTCCTTTAATTAAAAGAATAAAAATGAAAAAGTAGATAATGAAAAGGAGACTGAGATAAAAAAGAGGGCATAACAACAAAACAGTGCAGGTCAAAACATAGCCATTTAAGCAAAATAGTGTTTCACTACAAGATAATCTCACACCATAGTTTCTCTTCCCTTAAAAGCTTTGGGTATAACTTTGTATACTGTAGCATCAAACATATCAAGACAATGTAAAACCATTCAAGAGAATGACAGTATTACAGGGTATTTAGAATCAACTAATAGAAAATGAACAATGGTTTCTGTATAATCTCCTTGTCTATAAAAGTTTTTGTTTATATTATCACATATAATAAAATCCAATAAGATACAACAGGTTAAAACCGATGGAGACAGAAGAACAAAAGCTTGATGGGACTTCAAAAGAAGAGGATATTAAATCAGCACTAGCTATTATGATGTCTTTTTTTCTCCAAAATGGCTGTTTCTACCATCCAACCTTCTCTGCCTCATTTCGTTGAGCTCTTTTTCTGTCATTAGTTGTCAGTTTGTCTTCTTCATTTCACTTTCTGCTCCATTCATTGTGGCCTCTCTGCCACTGTTTCTGGAATCTTGGTATTTTTCATTTTTAGAATATCCTGCAGTAATCTCTGTAGAACTGAATTGGTGTTTGCAAATTCCCCTAGCTCCTTTTTATCCTGGAAGCACCTTGTTTTGCCATCAATTTCTAGGGACAGTTGTGCAGGATATATCAATCTTGGCTGGAGGTTATTATCTTTCAAACTTGAATGATTTCCCCCCACACTCTTCATAATTTGATGGATGGGTGTTCCCTTGTAAGTGATCTGTTTCTTGTCTCTGACGGCTTTTAATATTCTGTCCTTATATTGGATTTCTGGAATTTTGATTATTATATGCCTGGGTATAGCTCTGTTTGGGTTGTAGGTGGCTGGGGTCCTGTATGCTTCATACATCTGAGTAGCTTTACCTTTGCTAAATTAGGGAAATTCTCCTGGATTATTTCTGTGAATAACCTTTGTAGTTCATTTGTTTGTGTCTGTACTTCTTCTTTTATGTTCTTAATTCTCAAGTTATAGATCCTCTTATCATCTTCTAGCCTTTGTATTATTGCTGTTTGTTTTCTTGTTATTTTTAAGAAGTTTTTCATTTCATGCTCCCACCTTATAAATCTGTCCTCCAGTTCTGATAATCTATCCTTAGTTTCTTTCAAGCTGTTATGCCAGCTTTCAATAGAGTTTTTTTTTCCTGGTAATCTCTTTGAACCTGCTTCACAGATTCTATGTTTTCTCTATTTTCTCCATCAAACAATTCTCCCCTTATTTTCTGTCTAACAACTTTTAATATTCTGTTCTTATATTGAATTTCTGGGATCTTGATTATTATATGCCTGGGGGTAGCTCTGTTTTGGCTGTAGGTGGTTGGAGTTCTGTATGCCTCATATATCAGAATATCATTTCCTCTTCCTATGTTTGGGAAGTTTTCCTTAATTTCTGTGAATAACCTTTGTAGTTCCCTTGTTTGTATCCCTTCTTCATTTACATTCTTTATTCTCAAGTTATAGATCCTTTTGTCATCTTCTAGCCTTTGTATTGTTACTGCTTGTTTCCTTGTTATTTTTAAAAAGTTTTCCTTTTCGTACTCCCACATTGCAAAACTGTCCTCTGGTTTGGATAATCTATCCTTAGTTTCTCTCAAGCTGATTTGCCATCTTTCCATAGAGTTTTTAATTTCCTGGTTATCTCTTTGAATCTGTTTCATGTATTCTATGTTTTTTTATAGTCTTCACTAAATGGTTCTGTCCTGTGTTTGAGTTCCTCCCTTCTTCTGTCTGTGTCTGCTTGAGGAGTGCTTAGTATCTCTTTTATTAACCTTCTTATATCTTACTTTATTTGGCTAAATATTTCACTTTTGAACTTGTCCACGAGGTCCTGAATATATCTCTTTATGTCCACTGGCACTGTGTCTAGTATTGCATGTTTGCTGTTCTCATTCTCCTTTGTATTTACCTGTCATGGGTCAATGTTCTCAGGGTTGGGGCCTGGGAACTTTTCCTTGTTGCTTCCTCTTCCCATCTTTTTTGCTTCTTCCAGGAGGCCCCAGTTTCTTTCTTTGTTGGTTACAATTTTTCTGAAGCACGCTGGCTAGATGACCCTTCACAGTGCAGTGAGCTAGTGAGCTGCAGACAGGGACAATGTATGCTGGCCCCTCCCCTCCAGATCAGTTAAGCTGCTGTGGCCTGCACTACTGTATTACTTTGCACGGCCTCCCTTCCAGACCAGCTAAATCTCTGAGGCCCCACTGGGCCAGTGTGGTTAGTGTGTGCCACTGCTGCAGGGACTTGACCTTGGATAACCTATTGGGCCTCAGCTGGGTCACGTGACCCAGGCCTACCTCACACCACCAATCCTGTTTGGGAAGGGAACAACTGACTGAAGTCACTGCTGCCCCTTGTACTTGTCAGTCCTGCCTGGTCCCAGAATGTCATCTGCCAGAACCCCCGTATTTATGGAATGGCTCCATTCCCATCACACACCACAGGTCGATGTAGACTCCCTGCCAACTCAGCTCTCCATTTGGCTCGCTGACCCCCAACTCAATTTAACTGTGCCTCCAGTGAGTCAAAGCGGCAGGACCTTGGACAGTTCGGCAAGTCGTGGCAGGACCCCTGC